TGTGTGTGTGTGTGTGTGTGTGTGTGTGTGTGTGTGTGTGTGTGTGTATGGTCGTTCTGTCATTTGCAAGCTCTACGTTCCTCTTCTCCCTTCAATCCATTTCCCGTTTCTCCGTCATTGGCCGAGAGCTCTGGAACGCGAGGCGCTGATTGGATGACAGGCAGCCTCGCTTTGATTTTTAAAACTTTAAAGGTCGTGATCGCTCCGGTCAAAGGGAAACAGGGCGATGCCCGGCCATTTTTAACCTTTTGCTTTGTAGTTTTTAGTGTGTTGTGTCAACCCAGCGTATCTGCTAACTGCCCGATTTCAATCTATTGTGCAAACATTTAAAAATGGGTTAAAAGAGAGAGGGGGAGGGGGGGGAGACAGACAGAGATAGAGACAGAGACAGATTTCTCTTTCTGTTTCTGCTCCTGTATATCTAACTCACATATATATGCTGCATTGTTTTACATCCAGAATAATAAAATTCAAGGACTTTGAAACATTTGAATGTGAGTTCTGTTCCAAAAAAATAATAAAACAGATTAAAAATGGCGGGAGAGAGGGGGGAGGGGGGAGAGGGAGGGGAGAAAGAGAGAGAGCGTGGGCGTCAGAGCCAGCATGATATAGAGGTTAAGGGTTGGGCGAGGGCTCCGCAGAGATCCAAATCCATTCTCAGGTTTGGGAGATCAATGATCAATGGATGACTGGACTTACCTCTCTCTCTTTCTCTCTCTCAGCCCAGTCTACATCACAGGCTTATTGTTCAGAAAGTAGGATGCAGGAGTGAGAGCTAAAAGTCTATGGAGATTCTCAGTCATCCAGGTCATGGTTGTCCCAAAGGTGCACTTTTTTTCAAGAGACAACTAGACTTTCTGTTTTTTTCTTTGAAGACATTTCCCTTCTCATCCAAGAAGCTTCTTTGGCTCTGAAGAGTTGAAGAAACTTCTTGGATGAGAAGTGAAACGTCTTCAAAGAAAGAGCAGAAAGTCCACTTGTCTCTTGGGGGAAAAAAAGCACCTTTGGGAGTTTTGAGCTGAGTGGCCTCCAATATACAGGTAATCTTTGACTTATGGCCACAATTGAGATCAAAATTTTGGTGGTTAAAGTGAGACATTTGTTGAGTGAATTTTTGCCCCATTTTACAACCTTTCTTGCCCCAGTTGTTAAGTGAATCGCTGCCATTGTTAAAGTTGTAAAGTTAATCTGGCTTCCCCCAATGACTTTGCTTGTCAGAAGTTCACAGAAAGTGATTGCTTATGCCCAAAAGGCATTTGATAATGTGAACTGGAGATTTATGTTTTTGTTATTGGAACAGATGGGCTTTGCTAGAAAATTTATTCAAGCAATAGAAGCCATATATGATAAACAAACGGCAAAAGTAATGATAGAGGGAGATTTTACAGACTCTATTAATATAAGAAAAGGCACAAGACAAGGATGCCCATTATCACCTTTGTTATTTGTATTGACTTTGGAAGTGTTGAATAGAAACATTAGAGAGGGTCCAAATATAAAAGGAATGAAAATTAAGAAGGAGGAATTTAAATTGCAAGCCTTCGCGGATGACTTGGTTTTTATTTTGGAAGATCCTCTAGGAACAGCTTTAAAACTATTGGAAAAGATAGAGATGTATGGTGAGATGGCGGGTTTGAAAATAAAGATAAAACAAAGATCTTGACAAAGAATATGTTACTAAAACAAAGAGATGAACTGGCAGATTTACTGAAAATTAAAGTTACGAATAAGGTTAAATATTTGGGGATACATTTGACGTCAAGATGCACTACATTGAAAGAGAATAACTATATTAAACTTAAACAACAGATAGCATCTGATTTGAAGAAATGGGAAAACCTACAATTGTCATTGATAGGTAGAATTTCAACAATCAAGATGAATATTTTACCCAGAATTTTATATTTGTTCCAAACCATACCAATTAGGCTTGGTAAAGATTACTTTGAAGAATTAAATAAAATTGTGTTGAAGTTTATATGGCAAGGTAAGAAAGCCAGAATAAAATTAAAACTTCTACAAGATGCTAGAATTAGAGGAGGATTTGACCTTCCGAATTGGGAGTTGTATTACCAAGCTGCAAATTTAATGTGGGTTAAAGAATGGATAACATTAAGAAAGACTAGATTGTTGACATTAGAAGGACATAATTTATTACTGGGATGGCATGCTTTTCTGTGGTATAAGGGAACTAAATTGCAGGGCTATTTTAGAAGGCATTATATAAGGGAGTCTATGGTTGAACTGGGAGAAAATTAAGAGAAAATGTTATTTGAAAATCCCAGTCTGGCTATCAACTATTGAAGCCTTTTCTTATCCTATAATATAGGAAAAGGAACAAACAGTTAGATATGGGGAAATATTGGATGAAAAGAGTGAACTTAAAACAATGCAAAAACTAGAAGAACAAGGCATAAAGATGAATTGGTTTTCATATGCGCAAATACATTCAAGGTATCTTATAGATTCTGATTTAGACAGGATCTTGACAGGTACTGATGAAAAAGTGATTAAAAAATTATACAGTTATTGGTTGGAGATTATATTAGAGGAGGAACAAGTTAAAGAAACGATGATTGTTTGGGGGAAGAATTTTGGATATGGGATTGATTTGGAGAAATGGGAAAAATTGTGGTCTCAAAATTATAAAATGACAATGTCAACAGCTTATAAAGAAAACTTGTATAAGATGTTTTACAGGTGGCATTTCCCCCCGACAAGAATTGCAAGAATGTTCAAGAACAAATCTGAAAAGTGCTGGAAATGTCATCAGATACCTGGCTCATATTACCATATGTGGTGGACTTGTGAGGATGCTAGAAAATATTGGACTAAAATTCGCATATGGTTGGAAAAAATGACAAAGACACATATAGACTTGAAACCAGAAATTTTTTTATTGGGAATCTTACCTGATATATATAATAAAAATTTGAAGTATTTGATTGTAAATGTATTAACAGCGGCTAGGATTGTATTTGCTAAAAACTGGAAGAGTGAGAAAACTCCATCAGAGGAAGAAATTATTAAGAAAATATTGGATTGTGCTGAAATGAGTAAATTGACATTTGAAATTAGAGAACAAGAAGATAAACAATTTTATGATAATAAAACATAATAATAGAACATTCAGACAGCATAAAAAAAATTTTC